ATATTTTTCAGTTTTCAGTACTTCTATCAGTCCTTTTGTAGTTTTGTATTTCATATTTTAAAATCTATGTACGCTTCATGTCCCACTTTTAACTTTTACAGAAATCTCTTCCAGTTTTTCATAAAGGCTCTCTGGTAATATACTTATCTAATCCACTTTCTGTTATCAATTAATAAATGGGCATATTCGTTCTCTACAACAACATCCCAGGAAAAGCCAAAAGCAGCAGAAAAGGAGCTTTGACGCTCACAAAATGGAAACTGAAAACTATTATCCACAGTCTCAGATTCTGGAGAGAGGGAGATGAAAAGCAGAGGCCCATATGTCTCTCCTCACTGAGATCCCAAGGTACTTGTGTGGTTTAAGATCAGCTCGGTGATGAGAGGGAGGTGTCTGGGGAGGGGGAGTCCTCTGGGAGCCATGAAAACTGGAAAAGGCATTGTTAAACTCTGCTAACACAGACTGAAAAACTAGATCACAGTTTACTTTACATCCACTTTTACCTGCTGTGTTAAGCAAGCTCTGTTGAACTATAGCTGCTGTATTTTACTCTTATTTTATCAAAGTATATTCCAAGTATATAGTTATATCATGACTTATAGAGATATGTATTTTCTGATTTACAGACTTGGCTGTTAAAAATGCAGGTCATTCCAAGTGAAGGAAAATAAATTCAACCTTTTCATACATTTTTAACTGACTTAACTAATAAAAACACTATGTAAGCTGAAGGTAAACACATGATCACATATTATCTAGCCTTTATCTGAGAGTCGAAACACTTTTGTTACAGATGTGAGGCCTCTTTGCATAATCAGTCTTCAGTGTAACCCTTGTGTGAACTGTGCCTCCAGGCTGCACTGCTTCACACCTTTGAGGAACGATGTTTTATTCAGCAGCGCAAAACTTTTATTTACAGATAAACTCTATGTTTTTGGTAAGAGTTTTTAATACATTTTGTAAACTAACCCAAACCCTAAGTTTTGCAAAGACACCCGCTTGTGTCCATGAAAATGTTATTGCTTTGCCACCTTTAATGGAACAAATGCAGGATTTAAGTTTAATGCCATACTGTGGATCATTTCAGGCAAAACATCTCCGTTTAGTCAAGAGGTTAGTGTGAGTTTGTCATACTAGTTTTTATGTTTTGGTATTGAACTTTGTTGAGAAATTTCCCACTGCTTTGTGTTTTCTTATTTTGTGTCCAATGTGTTTTTCATTGACTAGTAGGAATACTTATTTAAAGTTTTACTGAGAAACTTTTCTAATGGAGGGTCCATTACCTGCTTGTTTTTATGGATATGTCATTGCTCTGCCTGGAATGTTCCACAGTATGACATTAAACAGCTCTACCTTACATTTATTCAACTATAGGTGATCTTATAGCTCAATAATACCATATTTTTTGGACTATAAGGTGCACCAGATTATAAGGCGCATTAAGCAAAGCAAACGGACGACACTTGAGACTGATCCCTTAGCCCAGGCTTCCACGATCCATTGGCAGATAATGATGCAATTCGCCCGGCGTTGCCTCTCTGTCTTGGTGAATGTGGGTGGATAATTTAAGTCTGTTTTTTATTTCCTACGAGGAACACTCAAATATTCATTGAGTAATAATGTGTTTAATGCAGCTTTGCACATATTTTTGCACCTTATATAAACACTGAGAAAACTGGAAAAAAAAAAAAAAAAAAAAAAGCGAGGCTCCTGACTACGTTAGCCGTAATGCTCCGTGAATCTATCAAGTGGTGCAGCTTTGTAGATTACCAAAGTCGTACTAAAACATTTTGACAGAGTTTTGAGCGGCATGTACCACATAAAATCAGGTCGAGATCAGTAAGCATAACCAGAATTAATACATAAGGCGGACCAGATTATAAAACTTACTGTTGAATTTGAGAAAATTAAAGGATTTTAAGTGTGCCTAATAGTCCGGAAAATATGGTATATCCCCCAAATCTGACCTGTGACTTGGTCTGGTTTGGTCTCTGTGAAGATAGTAAGGTTTTATACCATACACATTTGACAGACCCTCCACCAGAAAAGTTACACAAAGCTCCTTTAAAAGCCAGCACAACATCCCTCACAATCATTCATGTTTTCTCTGTACCACTGATGGAGGCTTGTTCTAAATCTCCAAAGTATACATTGCTCCATTAGCCTCAGCGCTACACAAATCATTTAAACTGTTAGCTGTGCCTAAACATTATACAAAAGGTGTTACATTATGTGCACACAATGATTTGTACAATCCCCAAAGCTCTTAACGCATTTGACAGTTTTGTGTTTGCTCGCCGTTCAGAGCCAATTATCATGCAAATAAGTGACTCTGATCATCACAAACCAGGCTCATTGTACAATTCATTTCGATGTATAGTGTATGGACTATGCAGGTTTATACTTGTACTAATACTACTACTACACAGCTGTCTTGGTACTAAGTAGGTTTCAGTGGCCTCGTCTCACTGTCACTCTCATGTTACCGCGTGGAAAAGCCATCAGGATCCGTCTCTGTCAAGAGCCTGTCCCTCAGTCCATTAAAGATGATGGATAGGAGGAGAAAATGGTCCGCCCAGCTGTTGTCTTTGACTTATCTGAGCGAGATACAGAAGAAACTCATAAAAAGAGGCGCCCCGGTTTCAAAAGAACCATTGTTTATGTGTCGCAACATGTTGTACGGCGATCACAAGTCTTGCAATATTTATACTGGGGTTGTGCGTGAAAAGTTACAGGTTTGTAAATGTTTGGACATGATTTTTATAAGTTATCTTCTCAGCAAAAAGCTTTCAAGAACCCGAGGTGTTTTTTTTCTTTTTTCTTTATGATCATTCTTGCTGTTTTATATGGAAAATATGCCATGCAATTGGGATTCTCAAGTGCTATATTTCTATGTTGTTGTAAATACAGTACAGTTTTACATTTTTTGGTGTTTTACTGGTTTCATCTTGGAAAGTCCACTTTAGTCTTGTAGTACACTTGGCTTATTCTATTCTAGTCCTAGTTTAGTCCTGATCAAGTCTAGGTTTAGTTGCAAATATATTCGGAGTTTAGTTCCACTTCAGATGTGTTGCTTTTTTGTTTGTTTGTTTGTTTCAGAACCAAATAAATTCCACAAATGTTATGAAAAATACCCAGCTTCCACATTGAAAGACCGCTGTGCTCTAGAAATTGATTAATGCTCTTTTGTTTGGGAGTCACGTCAGAAATTTGAGATGTCCCAGTTTTCTGTTTTTATTTTTTTTAAGTAGGAAATGCATGCTGTCCATAGAGAGTGCCACTTTGAGTCTGTTCCCCTCTGACATGTCTTGTTAACCCCACCAGTTGATCCCTCACAAAACAACCCAACAAAAGCAATGCATCCGTCAGAGTTTCTTGTTCTGTCTGTTGTTTGGGCTAATGGCTGCCGAGGACCGGGCAGGACAAGTTGAAGGAGGATTTTATGATGTCTCGCTGTGATTGATAAGAGACTCTTGAAGGGATGTCAGGCTTTCAGAGACGGATAATGTGGATTTCTATCTCTCTGCCCTCTCGTGTAAGACGTGCCATCAATCAAGTGTATCGCAGCTTAAACCCGCTCAAATTAAAACCTTAAGGAGGAAGCATGGAGAGAGGGGTAGAGGGAGAAAGACGAGGACCAGAGAGAGAAAGAGAGAGTGACAGAAAGATGGGGAGGATGGTCTCTGAATGGGAAAAAACAAAACAATCGAACCACAGTGAAACAAACAATATCATTTTGTGCATTTGTGGATCTTTTGTTGGAATATTTATATAGAAAATTATGTATAACACTGAATGAATATAGACTGATTGACAGGTGATCTCCAGTGACTTGAAAAGCTTATTTTTATTGTTATTCAAAATGGTTCCTAGAAGTTTCCAATCACGCAAGTAGCATAATTGTAAAGTGAGACAATGTCCATCAATGAGACCTAAAATACATGGTTATTTATTTTTACTTATACATATACATTTTTATAATTTTGCCTTATTTGACATCATTTTTGTTATTTTTCCTACCTATTTTGAATGTATTATTACTATTTATTAGGGATGTAACAATATCCAAGTCTCACGATACAATATTGTCACGGTATGAACATCGTGGTACGATATTTATTGTGATATTGTGGGAAAACTCATGATATGGTGCGATATTTATTGCGATATTTTGCTGAGGCTAACAAAACTGTTAATATACTATGTGTTCCTCTTAAAATGCCTTGACAAGACTTAATCCAAAGAACCAAGACTTAAAAGTGCTTAGAACTGTTATTTCTTCTTGTAGTCTGCACTGAAAAGGAGCAAAGGATCATGGTCTATGTAGTTCTCTGTCTTTTTATAGCTATTGCTGCACCATAACTTTTAATTTAAGAAAAGAGACTTGTAATTTGACATATTGTGATGGTCCACGATATTATTGTGAGAACTTTGACGATACGATATCACAATATTTTGGTTATTGTAACGTCCCTACCATTTATATTTTTGCTCTTTGTTATTACAATATATTATGATGTGTAAGTTTGTAGTTGATTACAAAGTGCACATTTCTTACACTGTCTCTAACAAACATGGTTTATTTTTATATTACAGTTAATGATGTGAGCTCGTATAGTAGTCGCCCGACTGTTGACAGAGGAGAGGGATTACAGGAAGAACAGTCTCATTTTGCTGCGTGGAGGCGTTATTAGATCCTGGCCCAGCTAATTTCATTCCTAAGCTCGTCAATATTTACCAGCAACAGACACAAGCCCGCGCTGTCACACTCCCCCTACAGAGACACGCGATATTCAAGCCAGATCATTTCAGCTTGGACAAAGTCTGGAGAAATCTGAATATTATCCACATAGTTCCTGTTCTTGGTTTTGTTTCGCTAAATGAGTGCTTGTTTTGACGTGATAAAGCAGGCAAAGAGCTAATTAGCCCAGCGTGGGGAGAGGTAGTATACAGGATCCAGCCAGGTCTCATACCTTTGCCTGTCGTGTGTCTGTTTGCAGTTGACGGGTGCATACACAAAGCAGCGGGGTCCTGTCTGTTTGACGAGTGCCACTCACTAAACGGCTGTGAAACCGGCAAGGCCAAGATCACCTGCGGATACGACCTCCCGGCGAGATGTGAGTAAATCTGATTGTCTTCATTATTATTTCGCAGTGTGTTTGTGACTATTTGTACGGCGATGCTCTCTTAAAGGTGCACTTAAAGGTAACTTTTTTTGGTTGGGGCTTTGTCACCTGCTTGTTTCCATGGAGCTGTCACTGCTCTGCCTGGAATGTTCCATAGTATGGACATTAAACAGCTCTACATTTGTTCAATAACAGGTGGTTTTATATCTCAAAAATACAGAGAAAAACAGGAATTCTGAAAGTGAGCGGGGATGCTCTCCACAGATCTGACTTGTAACTTGGTCTGGTTTGGTCTCCATGAAGATAGAGAGGTTTAATACCATACTGTGAAATATTCCAGACAAAAGAGTAACAGAAGAGAAAAGTATTTAACGGACCCTCCACCAAAAGTTGCACAATGCGACTTTAAGCTTTGGGGTAGAAGTGGCCTATATATTGTCTACTACATTGTTTCCCAAAGACTTGGTCGCAACTCTCAGGTGGGTCACAAGAGATTTTTTTGGGGTCACCTTGTCACGATCTGTATTTAGGTCTGTAATATACTATGTACAAATAGGCGACTTATGGATCCTTTTATTGCTGGTTCAATTACAGTTTTTATTATTTAAAACTTGAGTAATAGACACAGTCAGTCATTCAACAATAAAACATCCTCATTAATGTTCAGTAATGGTCAAATCCACCTTTATTTTGTGATTTACGAATAATGTCTATTGACTTGTATGGCAAAGTTTAGTGACTTTTAAAATATGGATTTCCAGAAAAAAAGTTTGGGAAACACTGGTCTACTAGATAATACTTCAATTAGAATATCAAATAATGTAAAACAAAATACTTGTAGTAATCTTATGATACATAAGTATAAATATTTGTTTGTGAGGTTATAGGGCATTGCCTGATTTTTTTCCCGTGTATTTAAGCAAAATGTGTCTTGCCCCTGTACAGATATTTTGTAGAAGCAGCTCTTGAGGTCAAACTAAGTCCATGTCCATGTTGTCTGTATTTAATTGGACACCATTTTATTGCCCAATAATCAGGAAGTTCGCATTCACATGGTAGTTATTGTTAGTTTTACAGGCACAGCAAAACTCTGCTCTGGTCTCTGAATGTTGTGGAAAGTGTTTATAAACTCGTTGCAGTGAATAATTAGGATGCCCTGGATGCGTAAGGTTAAGTGAGGAATCACACAGGGCCACTGCAGATAGTTTAAACTGTGTAAAATGAGTTGTGCCTTTAACCTCAACCAAGACATTTACATACACACAATTTTCTGATGGATTACAAAAATTGTTTCTGTGAATATCCCAAAAATGTCCATGTTGTAAATTTTTTATCAATATCACCTACCCCTACTTGCAGTGGCGTAATAAAGCCATTCTCCATTGGGCGCTTGCATTAGCTCACACTTAACGAACATTATGATTTAGTGTGAAACATTACAGCAGCAAAACACACAATCCAACATAAATCTTTGTTATTACAAGAGTCATTTGTTTCATGATATAGCGCACCCGTGACCAGCTGGTCTGGTCTGCTGGCACTGCATTCAGCACCAGATCTTCTTCTTTGAATAGTTTGTTTGACCTTGAACATACCTTGAGTACTTACACTCACACTTTTCACATTAACTTAGCAGAGTTTATTAATACTTCTACCTAAGAATAAATGTGGCTTTCCAGAATTAAACCAAGACTAGAACCATTTAGCTTTATCCAGGATTAAATAGGACATGTGAGGTGCATTGTGTAACTTTTTTTTGGTGGAGGGTCCGTCATCTTAACCAGGCTGGTGCCACCTTGTGCCTCCGCGCAGTTTCATTTCTCTCAAGCGACTAGGTCAGGAGTCGGAATACACTAGACCAGGGGTGTCAAACATACGGCCCGGGGGCTGGATCCGGCCCTCCAAGACCTTTAATCTGGCCCTCGGCTGATTTTCTACTAAATATTTTAATTATATTTTCTATTAAAATATTGGTAATTTTCTGCTGTGTTTATCACAGCAGCGTCTCCAGCGCCTCTGTGCATGGCCCCTCCCACCAGAGCAGCACAAATGAAGACTTGCCTCTTTCCAAACGCTCTTAAAGGACGATCGTTTTGACCGTGACACCCTCATCAGCAAAATGTCAAAAATGAGAAAAGTGGACGCCGAGAGCGGGATTTTCCAAGAAAAATTTACTTATTCCTATTTGCAAACAAGTTAATGTTAAAATTAATGTTGAAATTGCATTTATTCTTAAAGTTTCAGGTTGTTCATAATATTATAATATTTTGTAAAAGAAATTAAAAAAGATTTCTGTAATAGATTTCTGTTTCTCTACACAAATATTTGAACTTATTGCTATTTCTGGGGTATATTGTGACGGAGCAGGCTCATCCCTAAGAACGCCGTCCTGGGGGAGAGCACGTGAAGATGCGCGCGCCCGTTTCCGTAGTTATTGTGCACCGCTCGCCGTACCAGTTCCTACCAAAATCACTGTTTTACAATAAAATTCTCCCAACATCTCCTGCGTGTCTTTCCGCGACTAAGGGTGCACACTTGGAAGCGCTTATTCAATTCATCTAAAGCACGCCAATCCAGACATTCACTTACCCTCGCGCCGCCGCCTTCGCCCTCCTTCCGTGGTGTGTACTGGCAAACCCGGACACATCCGCGCCGGGAGTTTAAATCCGGTCGTTGCGTGGGTTCCGGGAATCAGGTGGGCAACAACTAATTTGCATGGGCAATTAAATGTATTGTCTGTCTCTCAGACGTTGTATTTAAGACCTGTTTCATTCTGGGCGCAAGCTATTACGGGTATATAACCATCGTGCTATAGAACATAGGCCGTTTGATTGTAGAAACGGCGAAAATCATGCTTATTGGGGGGAATTATGTAATGTGGGAGAGGCAAACCGGGAATATAAAGGTGCGCTCTCCAGCTCTGTGAGGAGTTGCGACCAGGTTGCAGTGGAGGTAACTTGTGTGGAGTGAGCCAGAGGAACCGAGAGAGTGAGAGAGAGAGAAACTTTGCCGGACTTAAAGGGGAAGTCCACCAAAAAACTTTTGTCATTTTTGTTTTTCACACCACCACTGTAAATATTTTTCCACTCACGTTTGGCACCTTTTGCACTGTTGGAGAGCACAATAAATCACCGAAAAGCATTTCCTGCCTAAGCCTGAGTTTTTTGGAAGAACCCCACCACATATATATGCCATGAGTTTTCAGATCTGGCCCCTTTGGGATCAAAGTAGGTTGGATACGGACCCCGGACCATAATGAGTTTGACACCCCTACATTAGACACCCCTCTGTGTTGGTAACGATTCCCAAGATCAAGGATTTAAAGCCGGAACATAAAGAGAATGTATCAAGGGGAAGACGTTATTGCCCTTCTTCCCACGGGATTTGGGGAAAGCTATACCACTTAGCCCCATTAGCAGTATACATCACAACCAAATAGCAGCCATCGGTTAAATTTTAAAAAGTACCTGCCTACCGTCGAGCAAATATATTCTAATGCTGCAAGGTCAGACAGTTTCCATGAAGTGAAACCAGCTGATGAATCAGGCTAGTTCCTATGGATATGTTATTGCTGTGCCTGGAATATTCCACAGTGCTACATTAAACAGCTCTACTTTACATATTTTCAATTACAGGTGGTTTTATAGCTCCAAAGAAAAAGAAAAATGTTGTGAAAACATTCCAGACAAAGCAATAACATCTCCACAGAGAATAGCTTTTGACAGGCTCTCCACCAAACATCTAATGTATAAAACTCTACAAACCATCAAACATAAACAATACTTTCTAAAACAAATGGCTGGCAACACAGATCTGTACTCTATTCTTCATCTGGACGTCATCAGGATGTTAAAGTGAAGCTTGACATAGGCTATTCTCCCACATCCTGTGCTACCACGTGATTCTACATTATTTAGTGACAGCCCTGGTGCATATTGGCTAAAACCCCCAGGCTTTACATATATATCTAAGCCCATTATTGCGTAACCAAAATGTAACATATTTTAGCCTCTCCACGTCACTGTGCACGGCCTGTGTCTAATCCATTGCTGCATTTCTACTGTCCTCTTTTCTATACATCGTTTTTTTCATCTTTTTCATTACACATCTGCTTGGAAGCCCATATGAGGTGAAGCATCTGGTTTGTCTTAAATTCATCCTAAAAATACCCTTCTATTGATATACTACTTTCAAAAAACAATGTCTGCATTGCACGTAAAGATGGTATCTGTTGATTTATTTGGTTTGGAAACTATAATTTTAATCTACATTGATTTAGTTCTGCTACAAACTCAAATTGATTAGCGGGAAATGCACGAAAGATGCCTGTTTGGGCCCGCAGTGTCAACATAGCCCTAGGATGTTTATTTCTACTTCACTTTCCACATGGCAATGAAACAATTATTTTTTATCATAAATATTAATGTGTATTGCTTTATGTAGAAGACATGATAGAAATTCTTTAGTATAACATGAAAGATTAACGAGGAGGCATTACACTTCTGTGGCGTATAACTGCCAGCATATAACATATTTAGACCATGTTACCTTTTATTATTATGTTATTTTATCATTCTGAAAATGCTATATTCACAGAAAACAACATAAGTTTCACTTTTGTTTTTGATGCTGTGAGCCTCTCCTTCCCTTTGCTCTTTCTCTAATCAAACTCCTGCACATCACATCAGGTTTGTGAAGTTGTAGTGTATTGTTTTATATCACGCTTTTGTAGATTTATGAAAAACTGCTGTGTGGGAGTACGGGGGACATAAACTTGAGCTTTGGATAGGATCGTACATCTAACCAGCGTTCAAATAGGGCGAGATCACTACATTGGTAGAGTCCAGCCTGCATGAATCTAAAATCTCTTCAGGCATTTTTGATGAGAAAATAACTTTATAACATAGAAATGTAGAAAACTCAAATTTGCATAATACCTCTTCTTTAATCTTTAATCTTTTTTTTTTTTTTTTTTTTTTTTTTAACATTGG